CGTATGTTTAAATATCAACCCGGGCCGGTCCGTCAACCCCTACCTCAATCGTTGGACTAATTATCTAGCAATCAAAGATTTGGTTTAAAAGTTTGCAAAGTAAAATAAACTAAGGCAAAGGTAATTGGTTTTGAAAACTCTTTGTGGGAAGATCACTCGGGTGTTGCTTCCCCCTAACTCCTACCATGGTACGTGAACCGAAATGATCGCTTTGGGCGAGGCAAACACTAACCACTAAGGGACGCGAACGTAATCATAGAGCACTCTCGAGATTTCTAAACCAAGGCATGCATTATAGGCTGTCACTACGCCCTCTCGGTTTAGCCAATCTCAGGTCGACTTACTCCCTCTCTTCAACCCAAGGGTTGGATGGTTAATTGTGCTTTACCAAAGTGTTCAATTAAATATTAAGGTTTTTCCTAAATTAACGTAGGTTGAAGGCTTAGAAAGCCCTAGGGAAACTAACTCAATGAGACTCCCTTAGAAGGGGAGGTTTCCCCACTAAACTAGGTTAAATGGCCAATTGGATTGCTAAGCATAGACATGCACACCCCATAGGTTGCTAAGCACAAAACATGCACAAGTCTAAGGTTGCTAAGCATAAACATGCACAATCAAGTGAAAAATACAAATTAAACAATATCCAATGTCAATCATTCACATACACATAAAGAAAACTACATGGTAGAGTTAGTGTTTCACAACACCCAAGTGAGAGGGAAATTACTCCATACTAGAAGTGAGGAAAACACAAGGAGAAAAGAAGAAAACCATATTGAAGGATGCTCTTGCTCTTCTTAATCCTTGTTCTCCTCAAAATCCACCTTGGAGCAAATTAAACCCTAGCTTTCTTCTTCTCTTGGTTTCTGTTTCTCTCTCTAGGATGCAGAAGAAAGTTTCTCACAAAGTGGCTCCCCCCCTCTCTCTTCCTTTCAGCTCACATTTTATACCAGGGACGATCACAGTTCATGGCCTGAGTTCACGACCGTGAACCATCAAACGCGTATGTGAACTCAAGTCGTGCGGCAAAACGCGCCGCTTCGATCACGCCAGTTCACGGTCCATAGCCTTTGTTCACGGTCTTAGTGACCGTGAACACACCTTGCATCAGTAACTTGTCGAAATGTTCTGGACGCCTTGCGATTCACGGTCAGCAACACTTCTTCACGGCCATGCAAGGCCGTGAAATTCTCGTCCAGGCCATGAACTGCCCTTTTTCACCTCTTTTCCCCATTTTCGATCCTTTTCGCCCAACTTTCAATTCCAAGGCTGGTTTCACCTGTTAATTCCTGAAAAAAGCACAAACACGAAAAACCTAGCGTAAAACCAACCTTTTAGGAGCGATTTAGCCACAAACATCTAAGTAAATCGGGGGTAAAACATGTACAATTAGGCCCGAATCAGAGAGAGATCAAAATGTGAAAATAATCTGGCCCCTGGGGCAATTTCGTTCCTCAAACAATGGAGGATGAAGAGGAAGAAGTAGGGGTGGCTATATGGTCCGGTCCGGTTAAATTAAACCAAATTGATCTTGTCCAGTCCGGTCTTTTTGAAAATATAAGGACCAAAACTTGGATTGGATCTAGTCTGGTCTTGACCCAGTCCGGTCCCAATTCGGTCTTGATTTTATATTGAGCTTGTGGGGATTTGAGTGGCATAAGGCCTGAAAGGGTGAGAAGTTGGTTAAGTTTTGTACTAAGTGCAAAGGTTTGTGACCGTCTATGCAAATTACCCTTAAGTTTTGGGTGTTGAGCTCTCTTATCCGGTCTTTATCCAGTTTTCGATCCGGTCCCGAACAGTTTTTTTTATCTCAAATCTAAGCCCAAAGATTGGATTGGATTGGTTACTATCCGGTCCCGGTCCAGTATCTGTCCGGGTTATACGGTCCGGTTTCGGGTAAAACCAAATAGCCAGCCCTAGGAAGAAGATGGGAATGAGGATAAATATGTATTTTCATTTCTTGTATAGAAATCCTAGGTTTAGTTCCAAACAAGTTATTTCATTAAAATTCCTCATGAAAACCTAAGTTTTTAAAACGAGTGATTTTGAGTCAAATCCCTCTCAAATCTCTCAAATTAAAATCCTGCATCCAAACGACCCCTTGGTTTTTCTCAAGATTGATCCTTAGCCTAGAGAGCATGTAGAACTCCTTTTGCAGTCTATATACACTTTCTACATCTTTTCAAGAACCATTGGAGAAAATAAGTAACGTAAGCAAACACCAAGTGTGTAATTCCCTATCTTCTTACCTCAAGGATGGTAAGGAAACTCTCCTGGAGGAGTTGCCCTACTAAGAAGACAAGAGAGAGTCTCCTGGTCTAAGATCTTTTTAAGATCTTTTTTAGCTGGAAAATAACTACAGACACCCCATTTACTGCAACACTTAACATATGAGAAGTAACACAAGTACTAATCCAATCCACAAACTGTGTAGGTAACCCCATTGCCCTCATAATTGTTAACAAAAATATCCAGTCAACTGAATCAAATGCTATCATAAAATCTATTATCATTGGGCTTTTAAGGAAAATAAGCTTCATCGATCTTATAGCCATAGACTAACTCAGATATCATTAAGATGTTGTCACTAATGTTTCTACCCCTTACAAATGCAAACAGGATCTTACTTATGGGGCTAGCTAGGTAAAACCATTGACAACCTATTTTCTAAAGTCTTTGCAATACACTCATAAAGCACGTGCAACTGGAAATAGGTCGTTAGAATTTCATGTAATCAGCTGAAGGTATCTTGGGATTTAGGGCTAGCACTATCGATTTAAGCAACTTAGGAACTAACACTATCACAAAGAAGGATCCAGTGCTTCAGTAATCTCATCTACAACGGTCCAGGCTGTTTTGTAGAACTCTATTGTATAACCATCGGGTCTTGGTGCCTTATTTGACCCCATACTGAAGAGAGCTTCTTTTGTCACGGTAATGCATTAAGTCTTTAGCATAAGAGATAGAGAGCTGGTGTACTAGAAATTCTTTCATGTCTTCTATAAAGCAAGTTATGACCTCCTAGTTTCTCTCTCCAAGGAAATGCTTGTAAAATTTCACTACAACCTGACCAATTTCCTCAAAATCAGTTACGATAGTTCCATCTATCATCCTTTATGAGATAAGAAATTGTATACTTGTGATGCCTGATTTTGACAGACTGATGAAAATACGCTATGTTTTAATCTCCTTGTGTAATTGTATTCTTATCCTTGTTAATCAGGTGTATCTTTCCCCAGCCACCCTATGCTCATCCAACTGCATATCTTCCAGTCATTCCAGTAGATCCAGTCCATTTGTTTCAAGAAATTCTCCATTTGAGGCATTTGAAGACGTCATGATTGCATTGAAGTCACCAAGGGCTGACCATGCCAGAGTTCTCCATGCATTGTTTATAGCTCTCATTTCGTGATCTCGGTAGTGTAAGTCTTCTTGCAACATCTTCATCAGAACCATATACTACATTGATCTCACATGCTTCCCTCAAGCTTCCACTCACTTTAATATCCATAAAATTTTCTTCTATAACCAATGATGTAACTGAATTATCTGGCTTATGAAAGCACGACCTTTTAACAACGGTAAAGGATGAGAAGGCGGAACTTCTTATCTACCGTTTCTTTCGATTTTGTTCTAGCAATATATCTTCATCACCATTATAAAGAAAATTAAAAAAGATAGAGGGAGAGGGCAATTATTGTACCAGGAGGATATGGAAAGTGAGCTTGGAGAGAATCAAGGTTGTCAACCCGCGGGTTGGCCCTGACCCGGCCTTAAAAACGGGCTAAAATAGCTCATTTGAGAATTAGCCTAGAAATGGTCAAACCCGGGATAACCCTGAAAAACCCAGCCGGTTGGCTCGTCCGAGCGGGTCAGTGGGTTGCTCGTTCCGAAGTGTCGTTAAATTTTTACCATGTTGAATTAAAATTGATGTTATTTAAGTGTGTAGGAGTTTAAGTATTCTTGTATTTTTTTATGTTTGATTCAAGATAAGTACAATACAATGACTCTTTTCATATTTTTGGGCTCAACCGGGCTAAAACGGGTAACCCATTAACCCTTGACTCACAAGCTCGACCGGGTCCGAATCGACCCGCACGTTGACAACCTTGGAGAGAATTGAAGATTAAGAGCCAATTCCGCGGCCGGCTTAGTTGCGTTGCTGTCTCTGGCTGCTGCCCATTAGTATACACATTTGGCATTTGATCAATTGGGTTCCAATGCATAAATTGTCCGAGCTTCAGATCAGCATAGCACATATTTACTCTGAGATTTCTTTCCAAAGACGCTTCATACTGGAGCTCGCTAGGAGATTTGAGATTCGGGAAATGGGCTTCTCTGTGCGGAGATTCGGGCAAAAGCCCAAACTTTTGATCGGGTAAATTGGAGCTTCACATGCCGAAATAAGAACAACCGGCCCACTTTATGGCCCACGGGGATTGTAACTGGGATGCAGAAGAGGTGTGGGTAGACAGACAACCTTATTTTCTTGTACCTCTTCTTAGAGAGGAGTATCTTGAAAACTCTTATGATCCTGATTAATTAATGGAATGCAGTTTTATCTATAAAAAAAGAGATTTCATACTAAATGGACTTGATGGACGCTAATATACAAAGATCAATTCCCTCACATCTCGAACCTGATACGTGGGTTGTACCATAACATAACGAACTAGTTGAACGTATTCCAATAACTCTAGTCCCGAATAATGGGTACCCCAAATACTTGGATAATGGCTGCACTTTGGTAAATAACATGTTACAGCGATATTGTCCGCTTCGGATCGGCCTCGCACTGATTTACTTTAAGGTTTACTTTCCAAGACGCTTCATAGTAATGGGCTTGATGGAACTAATAAATAAAGGTTAATTCCCTCATATCTCTAACACGATATATGCTTGGATTGTACCATAACATAACGAATTACTTTCACGTATCCCCATAACTCGAACGGTTTATATAGAGTCCGGAATAAAAGGTATCCCAAATATCCAAAGGGTATTGATCAGAGCATGTAAAAAACAAGCTAGCTAGTTTTCAGTGTGTGGCTCCGGAACGTTTGAATGCTGCAACCTCATCCCCCCAACCTCTCTATAAAAAGGGCCCTTCAGCTCTCACAAAATGCACCACCCCAAGAAGCCCTAGTGAGGCAACAATAACCCTACCCCCTTTCCCACTTCCACCATGGCTTTCAGAGTGCTTGTGCTGATGCTTCTCTCGAGCCTGCTGGCTCATGTCATTGGGTCAGGTATGGCACAGTCCGTCGGTCCTGCCATCACTCACGACCCTTGCTTAGATCTTACCGAATACCAGTACGAGCCATCACCGGAGCTGCCTTTGGGTCGTCGGAGTTTCCCTAAAGGCTTCGTGTTTGCCTCAGCCACAGCTGCTTACCAGGTAGTACTATATATTGTTCTTTCCTATTCTTAACTAACGTACCTATCTACATTTCTACATGAAGACCATTCACCTTACTGAGACACTGGAACACCAATGCTCTCATGAAGCACACTAACCATTGAAGATAATAACCGGTTACAAGGACGCATGACTTCTATATAACCTATAAACCTAGATCTGCACCATTGGACTATTTGTATGTATGGACAAGGACTATGGACATATTTCATTCCATCATCAGACAGATTTGATTACCGCGAAGAAGCCGAGAAACCTGATGACATACGATAACATAATTTAATAATCATGATCTCGCGGTTTAATAATATTGTTATTATTATATCTTTTCTGGCTAATCATTTCATTTATTAACTCCTTTTTCATTACTGTTGTTGTTGTTGTTTCCTATATATATTGACTCCTTTTGTTCATTATTGTTGTTGTTGTTGTTGTTGTGTTGCGTTGCTGCTGTGGGACGAAGATCGAGGGTGCTGCTAATCAGTATTGCAGAGGCCCAAGTATTTGGGACAGATTTGCTCATGAGTTTCCAGGTCTGTAGCTTATAAATGGCCGGACTGTAAGCTGAGCTTACCTCCATCTGCGGTAATTAGGGTTTTGATGTATATGTTGATGACTGCAGAGAGGATAGCAGATGGGAGCAATGGAGATGTGGCACTGGACCATTATCACCGCTTGGAGGTATATATATGTTTTTATCATGTATTTACATATTGGGTTTGACTTTGCCTGACAGCAATTTGTTGACTAATTTGGAATTTCCTTCAACGTTCGTACAGGAGGATATCATAAGGATGAAGTTCATGAATCTGGATGCTTACCGATTCTCCATCTCCTGGACTAGAATCATACCATGTGAGAGCAATATAATCGCTTCTCTTCGATCGTGTTCCATTTATTTTTTTTTTTGTTTTTTTTTTTTTTTTAGAGTTATAGTATGAATGAGAATCATTGATGTTTAAATCGTGGGAACGCAGACGGCAAGATCCAGTCCGGAGTCAATGAGCAAGGAATCAAGTTTTACCACGACCTACTCGATTTGCTCGAGAAACATGGTACAAAGAATAATTAATTAAACTGTGGCCTTAAGTTAATTTGTGACTGATGACTGATGAGTCAGACAACTGATGCAATAATTAATGTTTTGTTTAATTTGTAGGACTGGAGCCTTATGTGACCATATGGCATTGGGACACCCCTCAAGCCCTGGAAGCTGAGTATGGTGGATTCTTAAGCCGTAACATTGTGTAAGTAATTCCTAAAAATAAATGTACGTTTCTGTTCCATATGAATCTTTAATTCCTTGTGTTACCCATGTTGGCTCCGTGATTATACACGCAGGAAGGATTTCGAGGATTACTGCGACTTGTTGTTCAAGGAGTATGGCCACAGAATAAAGAAGTGGATCACCTTGAACGAGCCAATGGTCCATGTTATGCGAGGCTACGACGAAGGACTGCACGCACCGGGACGCTGCTCCGTGTGGGCAAACCGAGCCTGTGTAGCCGGAGACTCCGCAACTGAACCTTACATCGTCACCCACAATCTCCTCCTTGCTCATGCCGCTGCTTACCGTTTGTACGAGAAAAAGTACAAGGTCAGTCAGTCGAATATATCTCTTTTTTTTTTTTGGCATCAATATTATCACCTATAAAAATTTAGTTATAACACATATTCGCGCAGGCGGAGCAACAAGGGGCAATAGGGATCACCGTAGTCACGTTCTGGTTCATTCCTTATAACCCCGATGACACCGCAGACGTTGATTCCGTCCAGAGATCTCTGGACTTCAACTATGGCTGGTACTTGGATCCTCTTACCTATGGTCGCTACCCAAGAAACATGGTGGATCTGGTCGGATCTCGTCTGCCGACCTTCACCGAAGAAGAGTCGCACTTGCTCAAGAACACGTACGATTTCATTGGCCTCAACTACTACACCACCTATTATTCCAAGAACAACACCGAGTTCGACCCTGTGCATCTTCGATACACTCTCGACTCTCGCGCAATTAACACTCGTACGTACTCCCATCAAAATATGCACCAACTATTGTGTTTGGGTAAAAGTATTCTGAAGCAATGATTTTACTTGTTTCAACAGCTGAAAAGGATGGAGCCTATATTGGTGAACCGGTACGTAATTTAGAACGTGATGATAAGCTTTGCCAGCTTCTTATTATATGAACAAACAAGTTGGAACAAAAATGGTAGTATTTATTTATTTGTTTGGTTTCATTTGGCAGATGGGTTCCTTCTGGCAGTTTCTATACCCTGACGGGCTACGACTGCTTTTGGAGTACACCAAAGAAACATATGGGGATCACGATATCTACATCACCGAGAACGGTAGCTATCTATAGCTTAAAATATGGATTCCAGACTCGTTAATTAGTCAAGAGATTAGTCAGAATACAATATTTTTAACTAATTAATTTATGCATAGCTCCTAACCTTTTTCGGTCTTAGGCGATACCCCTTAAGTAAACTCGTGTTATTATATATTCTAATTAACAAAAAAACAAACAGGAATGGGGACACAGGAGGACCCTAAACTGACACTCGCAGAGGCGAGAGCCGACACCATGAGGGTGAACTTCTACAACGCCCACCTCGCAAGCATTCGCCAGGCGATGATCGAGAAGGAGGTGAAGGTGAGAGGGTTCTTCGCCTGGTCGTACGCCGACAACTACGAGTGGAACGACGGGTACTCGGTCCGATTCGGGCTCAACTACGTCAACTACACGGATCTCTCCAGGCACCCTAAGCACTCTGCCTGCTGGTACACCAATTTCTGCCGCCGAGACCCGCCCAGGGAGGATAACAACCTGAAGATGATCACCGCCGGCCCTGCTTCCGCCGCAGGCGGTCGCAAGTCACTACTCCGCCGCCCAGCAGCTTACGCTAATTAATTAGTGCCCTGCCGCGTGTGCTTAAGATCGATGGTACTGTGTAATATTCGTCGAGACGACGACGGAGTACTATTAAGTATGGAAGAATAAGAAGGGATCCGACGGTCACTACACTGAGCATGATCGTGGTGAATACATGCAGCCGTATAAGACATGCATCATGATGATAATCAGGTGGCCTTGTGATCCGATTGGTCATTCTCCTTTTCTTTGTGTGTATGTGACAATAAACTGTTGTTGTTCAGTGAATGACGACGGATGTTATGTTGTACCGTGTACTGTTGTTGTTGTTAACAAACGAATAAAAACTATTATTAAACAAATGATGATTTGTGAATCCGTGATTAGTACTTATCCCCTGACTCCCAAAAATAAAGACGAAACTGAAACGAAGGCGGTGATGATCTGAGTTTAATAATTCACAGTCTTGACCCTCCAGTACGTGGTACTGTGGCGCTAACCCTAGCCAGCTTGCCAGCATGGACAGTGTACGTTCTCCCATCAGAAGCCGCGGCCCGTGTTTCATTTTCCCACTAGCAGCCGAGCGGGCTGGTCCAGCCTTTTTCTTCGCTGCGCCGGCCCAATGCCCTTGACGGCAGGAATGGGGAATTGGAGAGTGAGTGGTGAAATGACTAACACAGGGATAAGAAGCTTGTACGAGGCAGACAGAGGTAGTTTATTTCCTTCTGAAATTTGTATTTTTCCGGTCGAAATTACTTCAATTAATCTCGAAATTTGGCATGGAGTTGGAATTGAAAAAGTCAAAAGATCCTTTAACATGTGACTGTTCATATCCACAGCTAGCTAGCTCGTACGAGTTAGACGTGGACAATACATTGAAGAACTAAATAAGAAAATAATCGACCAACACAAATTAATCCTTACCCTCACTTAATATTATAGCCATTCAAAATCAAAGTAGTAACATATCAGCCCATGAAGTGCTCTCAGCCTCTCACCCATCATTGTAGGAAATATTTGCATTATTTCCAATCTTATCATAACAAAATTAAAGTATGAACTGATATAATGAACGATTCACACTTTACTGGTTTGACATGTATTAGAACGTTAGTGAACCAATATTCAATAAATAGGAATTAACAAAATTATAATAAGAATTACACTCTTTTTTATACACAATAGCAATTCAGATAAAGAAACTACTTTTTTTTGAAAAAATATAATCATATATTGATTGAACAAAATAGACAGTTACATTCTGGAACTCAGCCAGGCCTGATAATCAAACAAACGACTTGTGGTCGGGTACAAAGACAGGACTTTTCGAGCCACCAAATGAGCTACCCTATTGTTACGCCGACCTACAAATCGTACCGTAAAATCCATGTTCACATCAAAAAGCTGAACCACCTCCTCAAGAATCAACCACACTCGATTATCCCGAGCATCCCGCCGAAGAATCTTCTCAATGATCACTTAGGCATCCCCTTCAAATCCCATTTCCGTAAACCCGCTAGCCAAACACCACACGATAGCCTCCCGAAGAACAAGCACCTCAATCATTAAAAAATTGAATTAATATATCGCAGCAGGTTACCATAATTTTTTTATTATAAAAGGACATGTATTAGTTCATTAAGGGGATTACCATAAAAAAACTGAATAGCAAAACGTCGCCCTAATTTTAGTTCCATCGCCCTAATTTAAAACATAAAATTCCGAAACTAACCTTAAATTCTGTTTAGCCAATTACCAAAAAAAAAAATTATGTTTAGCCGCAATCAGCGCCCAACTTCGCCGATTCCTCCCCGAACCCTACTTCGCTGCTCAATTCTTTATCTCCATCTCCACCATTAGTCCCTTCGCCCTCAATAATCAAACCCCAATCCAATATGCATCCTTCCACCCCAATCCAATAATTCTCGCTCGGCTCCTCTCAATCTCGATCTATAATATTGTTCATGTCATTGCTCTGCCTCTCTTCCTTTAGGGTTTCTCTTCTTTGAGTGATTCGACGGGTGCTGTAGTTTCATACGTTTGTTTTTTTATCACTCGTTGACTATAATGAACAAGCAGGAAGTACGTTGATTGCATGTATATTCTAATTTTGATTACAATTTACAAAGCTTTTGATTGTCTCTGTGTTCACAACATCTAGTCATTTTGAAAGTAGCGAGGATAGTAGGGAGTAGGGTTTATATAGAAGTGGAAGGGTGATTTGTTACCGGAATAATTGGGGTATTTTCCTTTAGCACCCTGATCTCTGCTTATCCATGGCGCTCTAGGCACTCGAGGATCGGAGGCGGAAACCGAGAGAGGAAGAGGATAGAGAAAGGGCTTAGGATAGGGTGAGTAACCCTTTGTTACTCACCCGTGAGTAACCACTTTAGGACCGTAGATCTGGGCCGGGCTGATCGTGTGGTTGTGGTTGATGCGGTGATGGTGAGGGGCATTTTTGTCCGGTTTTTGAATTTCATTTCTTGTCTTTTTCTACTTTTCTAGCATTTATATTATTACTTTTACGGATGAAAGAGAAACCAGACTTTTCTCTTCCTTCCTCTTTTCTCTTTCCCTTCCTCTCTTCCTTCTCTCTTCAAACTCCTTTTCCCATATCTAGATATGTTCCTTTCTTTTGTTCTTTATTTTTTTCTTCAACAATTGACAAAGAAAAATTGCAGCATCATGCCTCAAAATCTGGTGACGCTCCAAATCCTTCTTTGCAGCTGCTTCTTCCTTATGTTCTTTCTTTTCTCGGCCTCAAAATAGATGACGTTCCATATTGACCAAGAGGGGACGGATCTATGTGAGTTAAGTTTGCATGTTTTATATTTTAGTATTTGTTTGTAAATTTTCAATTCCGATCTTCCTCCTCTTTTTTTGTTGCATTTGGTGTTCTTGATTGCGGAGGAGAAATGAGAGGAAACAGAAGACGAGTTTTTTTGACTCTCCCTCCTTCTGTTTTTCTTCCTTTTAGGTAATATATATTGATATTACCACACTATATCATATGGTAATGTGTGATAACTAAATGTATTTTTATGGTCACGAGTTTTATCATGGTGGTAGTGGGTGGTAATCGACTCCAGTTCTGAGAAAAAAGAGTTAGAAGACAATGAAGTTGGAGAAGAAAGTGAAGAGAGTCGTAATTGTATATATATACCGAGATTACCACACTATACGATATGGTAATGTGTATATACCATATGGTAATGTGTATATACCACACTATACCATATGGTAATGTGTATATACCATATGGTAAAGTGTCTATACCATATGGTAATGTGTCTATACCATATAGTAAAGTGTCTATACCATATGGTAAAGTGTGGTAACGAAATGTATTTTTATGGATATCGTGTTTTACTATGGTCGTAAAGGGTTGTAATTAGATTTATATTATTTTTGTATGGTTTTACCTTCTCATACCATGTGGTATTGTATGGTAATTACAATTAATTTGTGTTCATTCGATTAACCATGTTCTACTATGGTAGTATTGTATGGTAGTTAGATTTACCATATGTTGATATTACCACACTATACCATATGGTATTGGGTGGTAACGAAATATATATTGATATTACCACACTATACCATATGGTATTGGGTGGTAACGAAATATATATTGATATTACCACACTATACCATATGGTATTGGGTGATAACGTAATATATATTGATGTGACAAATTTTTTCATACCATATGGTATGGTCAATACCAGTCATTACCATATGGTATAGACTGGTAATAACTGACAAATTTTTTTATGTCTGAAAAATATCAAAGTGGATATCATTTTGAAGAGCACAATTAATCTTGATCTAACTGTGCAAAAAAATTAAATTCCGACTTAAAACGAGTGAGAAATCGTCCGTTAAAGATTAAGAGAAGGAAAATTAAAGGTTGTTTGAGGAGAGAGAAGGCGCTGATGTGATCTGGTCAGCGTCAGCGCGTCAGCGCGTCAGAGACATCATTAAATAGAGGGTGCAATTTTACCTTAGTGCCCCCTCCGTGTTTAATTTAAATAAAAAGAAAAAGCTGACACGTAGGGACACATGATTGGATTACTGATAGTTACTAATAGCAAGTATACTGACCTGATCTGGTCCCTAGAGAAAGAGAGGTGAGGATAACAGGGGAAGAGAGACTTTCAACGAAATGGATTTTGTTGGTTAGATAAAATTGTTTCTAAAATTCAACAAGGATGAAATGGTCATTTTTTATTTTTAAACTAGAACATATAATAAACTAGGGTCATAATTAGCAATCTCCTAAAATATCTTAATCATTAAATAAACCCTAAAATTTATCAAACGAAAAAAAAAACCCCCTAAAAGCAAACACCAACCGTTCCCTCCGCCTTGTCTCTCTCTCTCACGTTTCTCCCTCGATCTCTCTCTCCCTTTCGGCGCCCAGCAGGTTACGGTAATTAACAGGGCGGCCAAAAGGGTGTGCCGGAAAGTACAGGACCTCCACCTAGATTTGTTAGTTTATTCAATTGTATATTGAATGTTGTATTTGTAGCGAATGTTTAGTTTGTTATGAATATGATGATGAGTTTAATTATAATAATTAATGGGTTAAAGACACATTTGGTCACTGAGATTACAAAATCGGGACATGTTTAGTCGCTAGAAAAAGTTAATATCAAATTTGGTCACAACAATTACTAAAACTGGACGCATTTAGTCACTCGCCGTTAGTCTCCGTCCAACTCCGTTAATGAAGTCCGTTAAGTGCTGATGTGGCAAACAGAATTGCCTAATCAGCCGGATATAACCCAACAAAAATAAAACCCGACCCGCCACGTCATTATAACCCGCCACGTCATTATGACCCAACCCTACCCAACCCTTCTTCCTCCTTCCTCCCCAACCCAATTTAGGGTTTTCCCCATCCCACCCACTCTTCCCGCCTCCCACCTCCTCCGCCGGAGCACTCGACCTTGCCGGAGCCGCATCGGAAACCCAGCTTCCAGCGAGTCGTACAAAGCGGAGTAGTGGTGCAGGGTATCCATGAACCGACCCATAAACCCACGGCCTCCACCCGACCCGGTTTCCTCCGTCGCCCCCACTTCCTCCTCCACCACGACCACATTTCACTGCACTTTTTATCATCTCCAACATAAGAACATAGCCCAAAGGAGGGAATACAAAAATCCGTTATGTCTGTCACCTGTAAGCTGGAACACTTATCTATTATCTATCGGGAAGTAAAAAGAAGCTAACCTTTCTTCAGTTGCGACAATGTCAGCAGCTCTGCAAACCTCTGCATCTTCGACTCTCTTCGGCACCATAAACTGCACCACCACAGCTTCTTCTCTGAAACCTCCCAAATCCATCTCTACCCGATTCAGAATCCGAGCTACCCGAGAAAAAGCTGAACTCAAA